TATTTAATAATAATCGTAATCATAATCATTCTCATTGTTACTGTTGATTAGCATTCGATTATTAATTCAATTGTCAAAACATTTAGAACCACAATTAGCTAATATTATTATCAAAGTCTCTGTTTCTTTAGTTATAACGATTGATCAGTTAATTGTTTTCGTAATTAAAACTAGATTAATTGGTTATATCTCTTTTCCCGATAATTAATCAATTTTATCAATTGATTAACCTTGATTGAGATTTTTTTTCCTCTCCAAATATTATAATATTAACTCAACATGAAACCTTTAATACAATAATATTAGTTAACAATTAAATTGATCAGTTGAATTAACTGATTATCTTAATCAGTTTCATTGACAGGTAACAACTAAAAATAATCAACAACACCAACAATCAAGATAAACATTGAATTGTTAATCGTAAACAATTTGTTAATATTAGAAAAATGATCTCAACAATAAACTTGATAGCCAACAATTAGCTTAATTGTCCTTGGTATTAATTTAGTTTTATTAGGCAATAATCTTCATGTTCAATTTAATCGGAAGGACAAACTCACCTTAATAGTCAATCAAATAAACTGAATATAAGATAACTATAGATCCTTGGATATGCAAATGAATTAACTGGATTAACGGTTAATCTAAAACAAAAATCAAAATTAATCTCAAAGGATTAGAAGCAAAAATAAAAAATTAAACGATTTTTTCCAAAAAAAAAAACAACAATCGTTGCAACGAAATTCAAAATAAACCAAATCTCTTCAATCCAACGAATTGATTTAGTAGCTAAATCAATTCGTTGGTTGCACAAAACGAACGTACGAAAAAGTTTATTACCGTTAATCGTTAACAATCAGCACTAAAAAACTAATCAAAGACACTCACACACTTAAATGTTATCACAATTAGTTGATTATTATCAGAATATTGTAAAAGTGAAACTGATTGTGAATTAATTATCAATGAGGAAAAGTTTCACTTTGCTAACGATTAACGAAACTTAATCAACATTATTAATAGAAAACTGCTCGTTCTAATCTCAATCCAATATATTTTATTGGGATTCGTCTTAATTATCCTACTAATTGCAGATTAAAACAAGAGGATGGCGAGTGAGTGAGCGAGTGTTGGGTAGGTGGAGGGGGAGGATAAGAGGAAGAGAATGTTCTGTTTTCCTTAATTCGAATTTTTTTTAAATTCGTTTTGTCGAAGATAAAAAAAAGTTTCCATTCAAATCATAACATTACACCCAATCAATGGGTGTATTTATATATAAAAAGAATTATAAAAAATGATCATTTTCAAATATACCCTAAGGGTCTTAAATCTTATGTGTCTCAAAAGTACCAATTAAACAATTATATTTATATAATTACAATTTGATGACTCACACTCAGACTCTCTCTCTCTCACTTTTATCATCCTCATCCTCATCTTTAGCACCTTCAAAAAAAACTACCACTTTCCTTTAATCATTATCATTATCATCAGTTACTTTTAAACTATTGTTAGAAATGAAAAGTTATCATTAAGAAATAATCTCATGTTGGTCAGTTGAACCTTTTTCATGATAACAAAGATGACCAGTAGTAGTTGTTATCAACTGGTCATTCCTGCTAATTAAACGCTTGTTGTTGTCATTAAAGTGGTCACTTAATTAACAATCGTAAGTGTATTAAAATATCACTTCGTTACTGATAATGTACTTACTTTTTTGTTTCTTTACCTTTCGTTGGAACGATAAGAGAGAGAGAGAGAAAAAAATTTTCTTTTTTCTTTCCAACGATAAAATAATATTCTTATCATCGTTATTATCATCGTACTTGTATCATTATGTTTAATCTTCACTTGATAACAATCAAACTTAATCACCAAGAATATTATCTCTTAATTAACTGAATCCTTTTTCCAATCGTTGAACTAATAATTTAGTTATCAAGTGCCTCTAATTGTGATTTGTAATTTAAATTATCATGTCAACTTAATTGTTGCTGTTGTTTGTTTGTTGCAAACAAAAAATTAATACAATTAAATTTAGATATTGGTAATAAATATCATAGTTATTATTGTTATTATTAATATACATTAGGTTAATCATGATTGAAACAACGATCCAATCACAATTAGATTAGATTTAATTTAATTTGATTTTGGTGTTATCATATTAATACCTTCCGGAATCATTATTTTGTTTATTAATAGTGTTATTTGTTTTTCTTGTATTAACAATCAATTGTTAATTGTTACAATTTACTTTTTGAATGTTTGACCCTCGTATCCATTGGATGATAATTTAACTTTGTGATTTACAACTATTGCTAATTAAATATTGATAAAGGTCATTGATTTGTGTCCCAATTTTTTTTTCAAGTTTTTAAGCTTCATTATTATTGATGATTAGTTAATTTGGTTTAATTTTCTAATTTTTAATTTACAATCCTGATTCGCTTTGACTGTTTATGATTGTTGAATATTGATTAGCTGTTAATTGTAATTGATTAGTGCCAGTTATCATTAGCTAAATGATGAGGACACTAAGTGTAAACATTTTTTTCCCTTAAAAAAAGTTAAATATTAATTAAGAATCGTAATTGTTGATTAACTTGATGATGATGATTATGAATGTGTGTTAACCACCATAGAGAAACAATTAACTCTCTCTCTCTCTCTCTCTCTCTTGATCATCACCAGTTAATTTGACACAATTTGCATAATCATCGATGTTGAATTATCATAACAATCAAACTAATCAATTTGATCAACTGATCTGCAAAACCAATCAAAAACTTTTCTTGTTTTTCAATTAACTTTTATGTTGTTTTTTTGATTGTTTATCACATGTAACAGTTTAAAGTTAATTGTAGAATCTGATTAAATCTATTGATTAATTCTCACGGTGTATTAATCAACTAATCATCTTTATCTATTATTTAATTGTTACGTTGTTGCAATCAACTATAAAAAAAGTTTGGTAACTTATCCTATTCCCGAAGAGTTAACAACAGTAATTGAGACAGAAAAAATCAAATTGATTGTAATTTTTATCTGAATAGATTAACAATCATTAGTAATTTAATGATGGAAACTAATTAAAATTAACTAATAACAAACAATCTAATCCTCTTTTCTACTATGCTACTCATAAGCTGATAACAATTAAGTTAATCATGATTAAAATATGATGTTGATGATAAAAACAAAGCAAAAAATAACAAAAAAACTCATTAAAAATATCAGAAATGATCAGCAAGTTAATTAAGTGTTAAATTAAGTTAATTGTAATTAAAATCAATGCTAACAAGTAACTAAATTGGTAACAATTAACTCTTTCTGTCTGATTACATCAATAGATTTCAACCTTAATTGTTTGATCTTTGTTTTCGTAATAATCAAATTTGATTGTTGGTTTGAAACTTTTTCGCGATGATTAAAATTAATTACGGAAAGTAATCATTTCCTTCACACAATTTACATATTATCATGGGTGTGGTTATGATGATTAACCCTCCGGGCAAATAAGATGAAAATTAATCCAGAAATTAAGATTTTTTTTTGTAACAATCAACACAATCCAATCAGTGAAAGTTTAATCATGATTTATTAATAGCTGTAACTTTGTGAATATTTATTCATTCAAATTGATTGAATCAATTTGCGAATTGATTTACAACAACAATTTAAGCTGATTCTGTGATGATTAAGGATGATGATGATGATGGATGACAAATGATTTAGTCTAATCATCTTGTTTCCCTTATTTGAAAGCAACTCCCTGTAATTAACATGATGATGATTAATTAATTGTTGAATATCATGATTAGATATCAGAATCATGATCAACTGTAATCACTTTTAATCAAATCTTTTTGTTTATTATTATATTTTGATTGTGATTATTATTAGTTGATTGTTATTCTCATCATCATTTAATCATCAATTAATAATTTAAACTAAATTGTGGTCCATAAATTGTTAGTTTTTGTTTTACTTTCAGCAATTAATTAACAGTTTATGTTAATTGTTGCTTTTTTAATTCATTCACTATTTAATTTCCTGATGATGATTACGATTAAGCTTGTTAACCATTTGATGATTAAACTTTTTTTTGCTTGATTTAGTTTAATTGTTTTGATTCATTTTCTTACTCTGGTGTTGATTTGAATTAATTGTTTACTATTAATATATAATTTCAATTTCAGTTAACAAACATAATTAACAACACTAATTAACAACGGAAGTGTAATTAAACTTTTGAATATTAATTTTAAACAATTTAGCTGGAAGGTTAATTAATGTGTACGTTACTTAATCACTTTATTGATGATTAAGAGACACAATTAATTAATTTTTAACTAATCATGGGAAAAGTAAGAGAATCAAATTTGTTTTCCTTCAATCATGTTCAATTAATTGTTTACAATTAGTTAATTAATTGATGTTTTTACTTCTTAATTTCTTTCTTCTTCCTGGTGAAAAAACAAATTCGTACATTGATTTAGCTAAATTGCTACAATCAACGACAACAATTAAAAGAATCACAGTTAATTTGGTTTACTTAGTGTAACCAAAAATATAATCAATATTTAACCATTAATGTTAATGATCATAATGATTAACTCTACAATCAAAATTAAAACTAATGGTAATTGTTAATTGTTGGTACAAATGATTATGGGAAACAAATTACAAATCATTTACAATTTAAATCATCATTTCCTAAGCCTTAAGGGACCAAAGGGGATTGTGATTATGATCACAATTAACATTAAATTGTAATCAAATGTTAATATTGTTTAAATAAATTAACCCTTTAAATGTTAATCAAATTAACTGGAGAAAAAAAAATTAATCAACTTTGATTGTTGTTCAAATAATCTAATCATCTCTCTGTTTATGTATTAATATATGAATGATATTTGTTGCAATTTGATTGATTGACTTAATTGTCATTAGATTATTATTCCCAACAATTAATTCACCCTTGATACTAATCAAATATACTAATAGATTTATATTTAATTGTCTATTGATCAACAATTAAGGTTTACTCAGCTTTTTTAATTACATTGAGAGATATGATTGTTAACAAAATTAATATTTAATTTAGTTTAAAAATCAATCCTCAAGTTATAACAACAAAATAACATCAAGTTGATTGTCAAAGTGATTAAGTTAATTGTTGCTTGTTCTTAATGATGGAAGATGATTTGAATAATAATAATGTGAATACCAATGGTCATCCTAGTCAACAACAAGATGACCTTTACCACTTTGATGATAAAATTTGGCAAGAAGGATTAATAGCCCGTAACCTTTGCTATGCAATTAAAAACGTTGACATTTTAAACAACGTTGACCTTAACCTGGCCCGAGGGCAAATATATGGTCTATTGGGTCCAAGCGGGTGTGGTAAGACAACCCTTTTAAGGTGTTTCATTGGATCAATAATACCCCAGGTGGGTGACCTATTCATTTTTGGACATCGACCTTACGACTTTGAACTTGGTATACCAGGTCCTCGATTGGGTTACATGCCCCAGGAAATTGCCCTTCACGGTAACCTAACCACTTACGAAAATGCCATTTACTTTGGTCTGATAACCCAAATGTCCAGAGGTCAACTAACCTCTCGAATTGATTATCTTCTTGACCTTCTCAACTTGACACCCTTTAGAAACTATTATGTCCGTCAACTTTCCGGTGGTCAAGCTCGCAGAGTTTCCCTATTGGTCACCCTTATCCACGAGCCACCATTGATTATACTTGATGAACCAACGGTCGGTGTTGACCCTTTACTACGGGAAACCTGTTGGTCATATTTGGTCAATTTAGCGGAAACCAAAGGCTGTACCATAATCGTTTCAACTCATTACATTGAAGAGGCTCGTCGTGCCCATCGTATTGGTTTCATGAGGAAAGGTCGGATTATCGTTGAAGATGAACCCAATCAATTAATGTCCAGTCACAAAGCGACCTCACTGGAAACGGTTTTCCTTAACCTTTGCTCAGTTAAACGGAAAAGCACAATGGTCAATCCTAGAGACTTAAAACTATTCCAACAACGTATGGCTCGAGAGGGTAAAAATATCACATTAGGTCACAATCCGTATAAAACTTGTTTCCCGTGTCTTCTTCCTGGTCCGAGAAGCTTAAAAACTGACCAATCGAAAGCATCTTCATTATCATCGCTGTTGAAAATTTGGTTTACCCTTTGGTTAGGATTAACTCGTAACAATATACGAAATGAGTTTCGTGATCCATTAGTTTTATGCTGCCAATATCTTGTTTCCATCTGGATGATCCTTTTATTTTACTTTGGTATCGGTAATCCTCCGTCGGGAATTAGAATGGCCTTTGTTAACGAGGATTCCTCATTCTTTAGCCTTAGTGGCTCGTTCATCGATTCACTGGACAGCCAAATGTTCATAAAGCAACCATATCAATCTTTCAATGAAGCGATAACCGATGCCAGGTCAACCCCGTTCTGGGGTGTCCTTTGGGTACCATCAAATTTCACTGAGACCCTTTTACTTGATAAAACAATGGCCGATGTTTCAATTGAATCAATTCAATCAGGTCAAATGAAAATCTCCGTTGATATGGCCAATAAATTGGTTTCCGCGATGTGCCTTCGTAGTTTAGTCAATGGTTTCATCTCTTTCATTGGTGATACCATGAAATCTTTTGGTCTAGATGAAAGGTTAACATCATCACCGATCGTTATTGATCAGGTCATTTACGGGAAAAATGTCTCTAGAGATTATAATGATTTCCGCCGGACAATGTTCCCCGGGTTCGTTATCAATGTTACCCTAACATTGTCCATGGCTGTCAGTTCAATTGGACTGATTCAATTAAGGAAAAGTAATACATTTGAACGGCTACTCGTCTCTGGACTGACCAAAGAGACCATTTTACTTGTCCATTGTGCGACTCGAATTTTTTTAACAATCCCTTTTGTCGCTGTTGTCACTTGTCTACAATTCTGGTTAATTGGTGTCGATTATCCCGAATCACTTGGAATCGCATTCTTAGTTTATACTTTACAAATTATCCTTGGTATTGTGGCCGGTATTGTGCTTTCCGGTTTATCGAAGGAAGTTGTCGCCTCTCTTTACGCTGTTTCCGGTTTCTTTATCGTCTTCCTTGTTTCAACGGGCTCTATTTGGCCTATTGAGGCCATTTCACCTTCATTTAGATGGATTTGCTTTTGTTTACCTGGAACAGGATCAGTTGAAGCTTATCGAAGTTCAATCTATCGAGGGTGGGGTTTAGGTCATCCAAAAATTTGGCCTGGAATTTGTATCGACACACTTTGGCTTATCGGGACACTTATAATCGGCCTTAAAGTATTCAAATGACAACAATCAGCTAATTAAATCACAATGACAATCAGTAAAGTACAAAGAATCACAATCAATCAAGATTGCAACTGTAATTGAGAGTGAGAGTAACAAATGATAATATTTCAATTTAGAATCCAAATTTACAAAAGATTATAATGATTAAGGATTCTATTGGTTGTGTTTAATTGTCACAATAGATACAAACAATTAATTCAATCAGGTTCATCTTTACATGATGACCTTTGTCCAGTTAAACTTTGAGAGACGGAAAAGTTTGACCTTTACCTTTTATTGTTTATGATGATTATGGTTTTGGAATTTTTTTTTTCTCTTTCTGTTTCGTATTGATCAAGATTGTGATTAGATGATTATGATTTAAGCTTATGAGATTATCTTGATTAGACAGGATATTTATATGAGAGGTTAATCCTTACGGATTTAAAAGATAACCATGAAGATGAGAGATGAGAGATGATGACAAGATAGTCATTTAGTGTGAACTATTCATCTTATCATATCTTCACCATTGAAATCCTCTTCTTCTTCTTGTCTCCATCATTCTGGTGATTGTCATCTTCTCTCATCTTCATCATCATCATCAACATGCTTATCTTAACCTTTCAATTGATTATCTTTTTGGAAAATCTTAATCTGATTTTCATGTCATTCAATTTTTAAAGGAAAAAGGAACCGTGAGATTGTAATTCGTTAATTATCATCACAGGTGAACAAACAATTAAATTTTCACAACTTTTTCATCTTCGCTTCAATTAAATGAAGAAAAAAATTTCCACTAAAAGTAAACCAAATCTTCATTTAATCCAAATTACGATTAATAAGTTTTTCCTCGATTTTATTAACTTCGGATTAAGAGTAATTGTTCTTTCCGATAGATGTCACTACTTTTTCGAAAAAAGTTTTTTTAATTATCCGATAGATGGAACTAGTGAACAGAAAATTTAGTTGAGAATTTGAATTGAGAGAGAAAACTTTTTCTTCTTTTTTTAGTTTTTTTTTGTTTCAAAAAAGTTCAATCGAATTTAATTTACAACCAACATCAATCATGAGTGAGGAGATCGATTGAAATTATATAATTTGTTTTTCTCCCAAACGGAGAAGCGAAAAAAAAAATGAAAACGAAATTAACCAATTTAATTAATCGGTTAAAAGTAAACGTTAGAAACAATTGTTGATTCAACAAGTTTTAAAATAAACATTTAAATGATATTAAAAGTAAACAATTCTAATGTATAAATGAATTGATGTTCCTACTGCAATTTAGTTGATTAGATTGACAATTAAGCAAGAAAAAAATAGAGAGAGTAACATAATTTTCCCACACAATTGGAAATGATTAAGGATTTGATTAAAGAGAGGTGTGGGTGGGATAAAGGTAATGATTACAATTAAAAGATGAGAGAGAAATGATTAACCAACACGAATGATTAAATTGCTCAGCGATTGAGTCAATCACAATCTCTCTCTCTCTCTCTAATCTTGAGCTTTACCTCAAAAACTGACCAGTTAAACTGAACATATGTAAATGACCATAACAAAAGAAAGTATCAAATGAAAGGGTTTGGTTGATGATAATTTGCCAGCAAAAAAAAACAACCAATTTGTCCTAAAGGGAATCTACTGGGTGACCTTTAAATCCCATTGGATGAGGGACAAGAGATACCTTTTTGTGCAAAGGGGGTGATCATTTTGTCCACCGTAATAAGAACTGGACAAATGACCTTCTCAGGTAGAAAAAGAATGCAAAAGTATTTTTTATCTCTATTGATTCTCGATAGAGGAAATGATGAAGATGATGCAGAGAGAGAGAGAGAGAGAGAGAGAGAGAGAGAGAGCAAAAACGAGAAGAAGATGATGAAGAAGAAAACAAAAAAATCCGGTTGGAATTAGAAGGTCATTCCGGTCACTAAGTAACTTGCTTAGCTGAAAATTTACCTGTAAAACTAGCAATCATGAAGATGATGATGATCATCATCATCTTAATGCTCGTACCTTTGCAAAAAAATGAGGATGGTGTTTGTGCTCCCATAGCCTAGGGCAAAAAATTAGACTTTGGCTTCTTACATATATAAGTTATTTATCAAGGTAAAGATGATTATGATGATGATGATGATGATGATGATGATGAAGGAGAGAGAGTATCTTTTGAACGAACTTCAAACCTAAGTAAATTGCAAAGAAAACCCTCCCACCCCACCCCCAGTGATACCTTATTATTTTGGTTTCTTTACCTGGTTCTTACCTTTCCAATAGATGCTTAGGTTAAAAGGTAAAGATCACCTTGGAAGAAAAAATTATCTTTTCTTTTTTTCTTCTTTACCTTTTTCTCATCTCTCTCTCTCTCTCTCGAAAAACTTTTTCTTTTTCTCGTCCAATGTTTACAATTTCACCTTCTAAACCTTTACTTTCTTATCTTCATCCCCATCATCATCCTCATCATCATCTCTGGGATACAATTACCTTTCAAAAATCTTGGGTTACACTTTTTTCTTACCTTTTTCTTGCAACTCACCTTTCAAATTTGAATACCTGGTAACCTTATTTTGTCAAGAGTGAAAACAAAAATCTCCAAGGTTTTGATATTATGTTGACAAGAATTTGCAAATTTAAATTGCAAATGTAAAAAAAATTGATTTGCAATCAAATTGCAATGCATTTATCACTCTCATAATTGTTGATTGTAACTATTAAGATTCTTGTGTCATCAATAATTGTTTAATTATTAAATACCTATTGTCTTTTTGTTGCAATTAACTTTTTCATTTGTATCATAAATTAATGTTTGAAAAAGTTTCTCTTTCAAATCAATTTTAATTGTAACCGGTTTGACTTGTTTATTGAATCAAATTAATAATAAATTGTTGTTGTTTAACAAAATTAACCATTGAAAGTTTGGATAATTGTTGAACAACAACAACAACAACAATTAACTGATCACTTTTCGTACAACAAACAAAAAAAAGTCATATTAATATAAATTGTGAAAGTATTAAGAGGTAACAATAATATTTTCAGTGAAAATTAAAGTAACAACAATTAAGATTATCGCTGGTGAATTAATTAGTAATTGATTAGTATAAACAATTAGCAAGAGAAACAACAAATTTTCAAGTTAATTTAAGGTCAATTTCGTGATGTTAAATTGTTGCTTCTTCAAATAATCAAACAATTTAATCATTGAAGAAACTTGTAAGTTAATAGTTAACATGATAGTCCAGGATTATAATACTAAATTAATGTTAATTATCCCGCTCAAGATGATCCTCTTTACACACAATTAGTTAATTGTTTATTAATACACTTTAATCACTATTATACTTTCAAATAATAAGTAACAACAATTTATTATCATCATAATCAACTTTGATTGTTGCTGTTTTTGGTTCTTAATATGTTGAAATAACCTTTTTTTTCAATCATTTCACTTTCACTCTAATCAACAACAATTAACATGTAAATCCTTTTGAATTTACAAACATTTAAAATGATAAACAACAATTAAATATTTATTATTAGTGTTTAACTAACTAAATAATGTTGATAATTAGCTAATCTTTATCATAATAAGTAAACTAATAATGTTTGTTAACTGTTAATATCGTTGATTGTGTTTACTTGTTTTCAAGTTTTCTGTTGGCAACTCCAAAGACTCAGGGAACAGGATTAGAAACATACAACAACAATTAAGATGAGAAGTGAATGATTAACCTAATCAGTTGATTGTTTATTATGATTATCTATCAATACTATTATTTGATTTACTCAGTTTGATTGTTTGTTGCCAAGAAAACAGAAAATATTCATCATGCTAATGATTTAAGAGTTAATTATGATTCTTATACTCGATGATTACGAATTGATTGGGACACGATTTTTAATATTAATAATTAACGATTAAATTGTAATCAATTGTAGATTATAATCTACATGGAAAACCAGAAAACCTTTGGTCAGTTGAAATTGTAAATTCGTGATCACAATCAGTGTTAATATTAAATCATTGAGATTATGTATCCTGGTTATGATTGAAATACTAGATGATAAGACATATTTAGATGGTCATTAAGATTATGATGACCATGATAATGATGATGAAGATGAAGATGAAGATGATTTTCTTGATTACCAGAGAAATGGAATAATAATAATAATAATTAGTAAATTGCCAAAGGCAATCAAATTCACTTGATAACTTGGTAACTGTTGAAAGGGTTCAATTGACAATTTAAGATATTAATTAATATTCATGAAAAGTTAAAACTAATTGCGTTCAATTTAAATACAATGTAGGTAAACGATATCACCAATGGTCATCTCATTGCGCTTCCTTATTTTATGACTTGCAAAAGGTTAACACAGTTTAACCATAACCACAATTAACTAATTGTTATTGACAAAAAATCAGGGTATCAGCCATTAATATTAATAATATCATAATAATATATTATTGAAATGAAAATACCTTAACCTTTAATTTTTTATTACTATTAACTTGAACCATTAGCCCAACTCCATGGGTCAGTTTTGTAAGAAATACTCAGTAAGAGGTATAATAATATGTACATAGTACTGACCATTGTCCACCACCAGTAGCTGAAAGGTGATATATTTGACAGTAGCTTTTTATTTCAACTTCTTTTGTTAAAATAATACTTTGACCACTCTCACACTGGTCAAGCTACTGACCTGGTTTGCTATTTTTATGGTCAATATCTTAAAGATACTGGACACTCACTTTTTTTTGACCAATTTCTTTACCTTTTCCAAACCAAATATTAGTAAACTAATATGCTTTGAAATTGATAATCAATGAGATATTATCAGTTAGATATACATACATACACACACAAAGAAAGTGTTTGCAAGAAAAGTATATATAAGATGAAGATAAGCTAAAAACTGATGCTGATGAGATGATAATGAAGATGAAAGTAGCTGATGAAGATGATGATAAGATGATGGCTTTTTTTGTGTGTGTATGTTGATGATATATAATCTTGAGCTTCTGATGATATTATATCATATACATAATACACATTAAGTCAGGTCAATAGCCTCTTTCTTATTGCAATCAACAACAACGAAAACAAAATCTAAAGGTTTACTGAGTTTGTCCCTTTAAGAATTAAGGTTGATCAGTTTTCAAACATTTCAATTATAAAAAACACTTTGATTGTTGTGAATTAACAACAATCAAAGAAATGAGTAACTCTTGATATGCCGATCATCATATTCACACTCATCATAATAGAATCACAATCGACTAACAAAATATAATAACAATCAATTTGTAGTTGTATAAATTTTGTATTCATCATCATTATCGTTATATTATCAATCTTAAACGCGTGTATTTCAAATTAGTTAATCATCTTCATCTTAATTACAATTATTAATCTTTTCGCACTTTTTATTGTTTATATTATTTCATTTGTTGCACTTTTCCAATAATTGTTATCAATATAATGATGATGAGGATGAGGATGAGAATGATCATCTTATCCTTAATCCTTATCATAGGGATTATGTGTGTGTGTGTTTAGATTTATTTATAAATGGTAACGATTTATAAATTGTTATGTGATTAGATTGATACTCATTTATTATTATGATTATCGCGTTGTTGTTATTTTCAAAACCATTGATATTAATCATTAATCACTAAGCGAAAATGTTTATGATAGGAAAATTAAACCACAGCCTTAATTATGATTCTTGTGTGTTGATATTGATAATGATGATGAGGTGACCGCACCCTTTACATATCAGCTCTCTCTCTCTCTCTCTCTCTCTCTCTCTCTCTCTCTCAAATACACTTATAAGATGATGATCATCATCAATAAAATCATCTCTTGATGTGTTTGTTTATTTTCACTGACCTTTTTTCTTGGTCAATCTAATAATTCATTGAAAATGAATTGAGTCTTGACTCTTGTTGGCACGTTCATCATCCCTTAGTCTTCACTGTCTCTCTCTCTCTCTCTCTCTCTCTCTCTCTCTTAAGGCTCTAATTATCAACTTACCGCTTTCTTTTCTTCCTCATCATCTTCACCTTGTTTTTCCCTCCATGATGATGATTATCATCTCTATGATTTATCAAGTTCACCTTGAGAGACCTTCGAACTTTGCCCTGAAGCATATAACCTGTCTTCTTGTATCTTTTGCTCTAGTTTGATGTAAATAATGATTATAAGATGAGGATGAAGATGAGGTTCTCTCTCTCTCTCTCTATCACTCATATTTAATAGACATAAATAATATCTATATATACAGAAGTTAGATTTCCAGTAGCTAAATCCTCTGAAGATTATTATTCATTCTTGATGAAAGT